CGACCAACTATTACAATACTATTGCAATGGTTTTCTTCTCCATGAATTATCTCATTTGAAGTCATTTCCCAAATGAATGTATAGTTTAAATGAAATAAAAACAAGCTGAAGTAGTTTCAGTCACTTTTAATAACTGACAAGAAACTTGAAACCCAGATCAAGTAAACAGTAATGTTTGTTTAAGATGTAACAGGGGCGGATAACTCTAAATCAAAGTGAATGAGTTCAGTACTTCCTGCATCTATAGCTGCACATTTATCAACGATGCATCGATAGTTTTTCCTTTCTGCCATCGATTAATTGCTACAATTGTAATCCATCGATAGTTCGATGCATCGTTACAGCCGTAGTAGTTGTAGTTGTCGCGGTGGCAGTGGTACTGTTCGCGGTAGTAACAACAGTAGATGTCGTGGCAACATTATCGGCATCATCATCATCATTGTTCTGAAGGGTCCGTAAAGAACCGATGTTCTCGGACACAATACTTGATAGCACAAATACACCTGAAGCGCGGCAAGGACATTAGCTTTTCATGCTGCACGAGATTCTGTGCGAAGTTCGACTGCGTATGATACAGATGATAGATTTTCAGTTTTAGGCGCTAGTGAATGGTTGTTTATGGGTAACTCTCCCGAAGTGATTGATGCTGAACTAGCAAAAAAGTACAGATTAAATAGAAATAGAAATACACATAGCTGAGAGAATTATCCATTAACATTTTGACAGTTGCTAGATAGATAGTTTCTTCATATTAAGTTTAAACTTCATTATTTATTAGTTTATTTCACATTTCTCATTGCGTTAAAAAAGGGGATTTCACGTTTAGTTGGTTGAAAGGTAAGTAAAAATTTATGTAGTTTAGTTTAACTTCCACTGCACACCATAGATATTTTAGTTTAATTTCTACTGCGTACCAATCATCATCATCATCATCATCATCATCATCATCATCACCATCAGCAGGATCAGCAGTTGTAGTATAAATAATAGTAGTGGTATGAGTACAACGAATGCATATTGTTTTACGTCGCATTATGAATTTAACATGTATCTGTGAAATGAGCAGTGGAAGAAGTGGATGTAGTTGTAGACGTAGTGCTAGTGGTAGTAGTAGATGTAGTTACATTGTAACCAGCCGGAGTAGTCGTTGTAATATTTCGTATTATAAATACTCATAAACGTATTAATTTAAATAGTCGTTGTTATAGTACTCGAAGAGAGCATACACAGATGGCAAGTTTAGACATACACTACAATCGGATAGTAATCGGACGTGTTCCTGGTTGTGTTACTGCTTCGTCATGGGTTTTCCCAGTCCGGCATTTCCGAGGAATTGAGAGGCGTGGTCACAACGACTCGCGTCGGATCTATTTTTGTGAATGACAGCAAAACCAGGCAGAGCTTTTGTGCACAAATGAACTCGTGCGTTAAAACATTTACTGCTACGGGAAAAGTGTACGTGTCTGGGATTGAGTGTCCATGCATATTTACGTTAGAATCATATACCATTATGCACATTTTTAAAGTATTTATTTGTAAACTGATCGGTAAAAGAAAGATTATCGAGTTTCTTATCATTTAAGTGAAAATGAAACAACAGTTATTAAACTGGATTATGTCCTAAGATTAAATATTGTTAATTCCTGCAACAGGCTGTAGTAAATATTCTGTGGTTCTTCCATTTTGTGTAAAATAAACTGGTTAAGTGGAGACGGGAGTAAGGAACGAGTGTGCACCACATGACCCCTATTTTGTTTCAAATGTAAATCTGGGCAGAAAAACAATCAGTGATTCGGCACAGTACCCTACGCTACAGTGAGTGAGTGTGAGAGTGAGTGTGAGAGTGAGTGAGAGTGAGAGTGAGAGTGAGAGTGAGAGTGAGTGTGTGTGTGAGTGGGTGGTGTTGAGGTTCAGGTTTGAGGGTTGAGGTTTGAAGGTTGAGATTGAGGGGTGAGGGGTGAGGGGTGAGGGTTTTTACACCGCTTTTAGCAATATTCCAGCTATACCACGGCGGGAGACACCAGAAATGGGATTCACACATTGTACCCATGTAGGGAATCGAACCCGAGTCGACGACGTGACGAGCGAACGCTTTAACCACTAGGCTACCCTACCATCCCGACACGGTACAGACTGAGTTACGTTGCACGCCACTTAAACAATAGAACATTATCAATATAATTACAATGGAACCCCGATAATCCGGACGGTAGCCTTCTCCGTGAAATAGTCCCGATTAACTACTGTCTGGATATTTAAAATATGTGTTCAAATGATTTACTTGTATAACGCCACTATCCCCAATACTTCAACTATATGACGTCGATCTCTAAATAACCGAATTTTGGATGGTTGATGTTATGAGCATCGATCGAGTCGGTTACCATGGCAACCTGTCAATCAATTCGTCGCGTCCAGTACGAACAGCATAGGTCGCCGGGGCTGATATACACCAAATTCCCTACTGGGAGTGTTCAGATGTTTTTAGTATACTGTACACAATCCTTACCATAGTAATGCCTCTAAGCTTAGTGATTTAGAACGGTGCTCATGATGTTGATCGCTGGATTGTCTGGTCCAGACTCATTTATTTACAGACCGCCACATATAGCTGGAGTATTGTCGAGTGCGGCGTTAAACAACATACCAACCATCCAACCAAATTAGGGCTTTAATGGGATGTTTTCAATTTAGAGCTTGTTTACTTCATTTATACGATTTTGGAGCACTTTAGATTTGTCCAGGATTGTAACTATGGCAGTTGGTTAACTCCTTAGTTCAGCCTTGGTTTGCCATGCAAACACAGTTTTTTAAAATTATTGTACTCAATAATGCTTAAAGATATGACACGTTGCATCATACTCAGAAATACTCAAATATTTTGGGATATTCCATTACATGTCACGTCAAAACGATCTTTCGCGAACTTTGAGCGGCCAGGGGAATGACAAACAAGATGTCCACATTAGCCAAGATGTCGACACAAACAAAATCAAATGATTTCAAACTTTATATTTTTTGCATGTTGATAATATAAATTCAATTATGTGACTTGTGTCTTCCTCGGAAACAATGCAGAGCAGTTATTTCTTAACGCTGTATCAGCAATCGTTTTTGTGTTCTCGGCTTGGGTTATCAGTGGCTTCCGTCATGATTTGGTTGTCTGCGCATGTTCAGGAAGCCCGTACACAGTCATTCAGCAGAAACCTGCCTTCAACTTCCGGTATTATTCAACTTCTGTTATTACAATGAAAGAAGAGGGATTTGATCCGTGTTATACACGGCTGTTTTGGTTCAACCTTGTCCGAACTTGCAGAAGCCGTTGTCTTACTTCTGTTAAGTCGCTGCGCTGTTGGAGGAGAAGTTTCACCCTCTGAAATATGATCAATAAATTCATGTGTTAATTATATGTCATTTAATTATGATGAAAAACATACCTATATCACCTAACACTTTTTAACCCGTCATAGCCTCCAACATAGTATTCGCTTCAGGACCTGTTACATGAAAGTATCCGTCATACTTTCCATCATTGTACCCACATCGTACCCGCCCAAGTACCCGCTGTGACCGTTACAGTCACGATGCCGGTCATGAACTGACTACAATCATGAATTGGGTTTTATGTTGCTTTTTGCAATATTCCAGCAATATCATGGCGGGGGACCCCAGAAATGTGCTTCACGCATCGTACCCATGGGGGGATTCGAACCCGGGTTTTCTGCTTTTACCATTAGGCTACCCCACCGCTCCATAATATCATGGAAGGAACAGTCGCTTAACACTGCTATGTCATCATCAAATCAAGGTCCAGGACATACTATGGTAACTGCATGAACGCCAAGAATAATTTCTTGCTTGTATAATATTCAGCCATCGTCAAACAAGGGTGGATACTTTCTTTTGTTCGTAAGTTTATTTCCCGTCACAGTACCCGCTTTTGATAGTGATACACCGTTCCTCATACTATGTAGATAATATCCGTTGTCACTTCCGGTTAGGGTCTGTGCCTGCCATAATACCAGTTTAGTACGCGTCAAAGTACAGGTTGTAGCACTCACATTATAACCCGTTAAAGTAACTATAGTCTGTTTGCAGTGAAGACGTACCGATGAATTTCACTTTAAACAAAAAAGTAAAGCAAATAATGTGAAATTAAGATTGCGACACCCTCGTAATTTTACCTTGCCAATTGCACTTTGAATCTCAGAATTTTATTCATCTTAGGAAAAAAGTTGTTTAACAAACGATCATAGATTCAAATCGATATTATTGGTTTGTATTACAAGGGGGTACGCGCAGAAGTTGGAACACTGAAACAAATGCACGTGCGGTACGTGATGAGCGTTAACTTAGACCAGCCCTACTTGTTCTCGGTGTTTCATTTAATGTGCATACACCCTTGTAATACAAACCAAAAATAATGATTTGAAACCACGATCGTTTGTTAAACAACTTTTATCCTAAGTTTAATAAAATTCTGATATATTTTAAATGTTCAGTTGGCAAGATAAAATTATGAGGATTCGCAATCTTAATTTCACTTTTTTCGATTTACTTTCTTGTTTAAAGTGAAATTCATCGGTACGTTTTCACTGCAAACAGACTATAGATTTCGCAGACACAGCTTTTTGAGGGGGTGAGGTGGGGGCTACACAGTACATATGGTCACTTAATAGGGGTGGGTGGGGTGCGCACCCCTGCATCCCCCGTCTGGATCTGTTTATGAGTCCCCACTAAAATATTTCACTAAAATTTCATACTACCAACCTGTTCCAAGTCCTTCAGGTTCTGTAGTCGCTTGTCTCGGCATTTCTTTGCCGCCTTCCTGTTTTGTACACGTCTCCGAACCAGTGCGTCGTCACAGTGATCGGCGGCCTGTAGTATATAAAACAAGCATGATTTGAAACAACGGGTTTAACGTCTCGTTCAAGATGTTTCATTCAGAAAGCGGCGTACATTTGTACTCGTCGGGATTTTATAGTCTGTACTATGCAGGTTTGGTAGTACTAGCCACCATGCCACAACTCAACATTAATACACACTCATTGAGTGAGTATAGTTTTACGCCTCTTTTAGCAATATTCTAGCAATATCACGGCGGGGGACACCAGAAATGGGCTTCATACATTGTATCCATGTGGGGAATCGAACCCGGGTCTTCAGCGTAACGAGCAGACGCTTTAGCCATTAGGCAACCCCACCCCGATACCCACCCAGGCATACTATATTGACTCCGAGCCGACCAGTAGGCTACTTGATTTATTCTCTCAATGCCGAGCACCAGGCAGGGAAAAAACTGGTACCATCATTTAACGCTTTTAGCGTTCGGCAGGGGCAGCCTGGTGGTCAAAGCGTTCTCTCGTCACACCGAAGACCTGGGTTCGATTTCCCACATGGTTACACTATGTGGAGCCTATTTCTGGTGTTCCCTGCTTAGATATTACTGGAATATTGATAAAAGCTGCGTAAAACCATATTCACTCACTTTTGGCTTTTCGCGTTCAGGGACTCGAACAACCGACTGAGGCTCCACGGACGGACACTCTATCTACTCGACAACGGAGGTGGTGGTCTGAGATGAGTTTGTTCCTGAATGTTACATAAAAGTATAATTTTATGCATGTACCTGATGGCTTTTGTCCTCCGACCTCCCCTCCTCTGTTGCCATGGTTACATGGCTGAGGGTTCCAATTGACTTCTGGAGTAAGGGCGTTTCAGTACCACCACGTATCGAGCTCCTTTGGATGTCTTTGTTGGTATCTTCGAAATGACCGTCCGTTGAATGACCAGGACCCTTCAGATATGCGATGAGGTCATTGTAGGCCCTTTGTGTGATGTGGTCATTGCATGAAGGAGTGCAGTGCCCAGCACTTCCGGTCCCCTCTGCAGAAAATGGACCCGTTTTGGCAAAGTCCAAACTGACCTCGTGACGACCTATCCCGATTGCCAAAACATTAATCTCTGCATCCTTAGCAAACGTTTGACTGCTGCAGGAACCGGTGCCTTGTACTTGGTATTGTTCATCTTCTGATGAGGGATACAGAGCTTCCATTGCTTCAGAACGTTGTTGCAGTGATGGAGATACTCCTTTCTTTACCACCATGGTGTCAGTATTTACCAATTCCTGCAACACTGACCGAGGTACCTCATCATAGATCACATTCATAACATCATCAAGCAACCCAGATACATCAGGGCTGACGTCATTGTCCATCAGGATGGTGTGAAGGTTCTGTGACGTCAGACAAGATTCATCGCCTGCTTGTTGGGGGTCACTATTCAGGCTGACCTGTTGAAAATAGACACGCTGGTCTTGGAGTTCTAATGTTCAAGAAGGATTTAGTATTTGCCACAAAATACTTTCAAAGTTTATTGAAACAACTTGCTCATTTTGTAGGCCAGATATGATATCATAAATGATGATAAACATAATAGAAATACGATTATTTCCGGTACACTTTCCTATATATTCATATTAAAATTACAATTTAAATATATTGAATAAAAACAACTTATTTTTGTTCTAACTTCAATCAACGAAATTTCCATTTTCAGCCCAAAGAAGGTGTCGTGTACGTACCAACATCTGAATATAGACCAGTTCAAAATTACAATTTAAATACGAAACACAACTGTAATCTTACTTACAACTGTTCTCTTGGTAGTCATCATTGAAGGCAGAAATCGATTTACCTTATTGTTAAATGTATTGCTTAAGATCTCAACAGAAATCACTTTCATGAAACCGAATTCCTTATCGAGTATTTAACAAATTGAGAGATGAGTAATCGAGCTTTTCAAGCTTATGTTATACGGCGGGGCTTGTTTGAGCGCGCTTTTGTATTAATGTTTGTGCATGGCGTGTTTCCCGATTTAGAAACATGAGTGATATGAACGGGTGATATCTTTGTAGGATTGCGAATGATGATCGTCGTATATCACATGTCTACATTATTCATCTTCCGCCATCGGCATTTGATTAAGACTATGTCCTGAATTGGGAACAGCTGACCACAATGACCAGATAACCGGGACAGGTTACCATCAGTTTGAATATTGTTTGGGGCGATGGGGTAGCCCATTGGTTAAAGCGTTCACTCGTTCACAAGAACCCAGGTTCGATTCCCCGTTTGGGGAAGTTAAAATAAACAAAACAGCAAAATTAATTAAATAAACCAAAAACAAGAAACAACCACCCCAAATTGATGCAAATACAAGTCATTATGAAAAACAATAACGATATTACAACAACCATAAGATAGTGTAAATTGGAGAAATCCCTGGAATCTAAACACTTCTGAAGAAGAAGTGAATGAGAGTTTAGTTTTACTCCGCTTTAAGCAATATTCCAAGCAAGACTATCTGTAGCCGATGGTTGTCGTGACTCAGTCATGAGTGAGTGAGTTTAGTTTTACGCCGCACTCAGCAATATTCCAACTGAATGGTGGCGGCCTGTAATACTCATGTCTATGCAGAGGTCTAGCAAGCTTGTCACGTACTAGTTTTAATGTATTACTTACAACAGCGTTCGTGAGTGAGTAGATCGGTGGTTGAGTGGTTGAGTGAGTAATTGAATATAGTTTTACGGCGCTTTTATCACTATCCCAGCCACCATGTCGTGAGAAACGTCGCAAATGTCTTAGACCATAGTACCCAGTTTTAATAATAACAGCTTTTTTAACAAGATTTTCTGGAATCAGAACTGAAATGCGTTGAAAGATTGATACATTGACATCGTCAGTTTGCACTCTCTTATGTTATGTACGGATAGTAAATAACTATCATAAAAAATATTCAATTCAAGACAGCTTACGTCACCATAGATCATGATGTATCAGTATTTAGAGTTGGTACAACTGTGTCAATGTGACGTTAAGTGTCCTTGTTATTCATCCATCACGGGATTCACATGCTTAATTATGTAAACGGTGTTTACGTATGACCTTTATTAACCAGTAATGTGTGGGTGTGCGGAAATATATGCACCTGACAATGCATGTTATGTTCGTAAACATTGCTAAACAAATCATGACATCATTATGAGGTCGTTTCGCTGACCATTTTTCTGAATAAAAGTAAATAATTGAAATTGACATAACTCTAGGACAGTATGAAACATTATAAAGAAATTATATGTCAAATATAATACAGCTATAGGAGGAGAAATCCGTCTAATCTAAAGATGCCGGAAGTAGAAAACAGTCGAGATTTAGCATGAATATTACTGTAACACAACACTGACTCACTCACTTAGGATGTATTTTTCGTTATAATAACTTTTTCAGACTCCGTTTCGAAACGCGTTTAATGAAATGAGGAAAACATTTATGCAGAGTATTGGCAAGCTTGTCACGTACTGGTTTAAGAGTATTCCTTACAACAGTGTTCGTGAGTGAGAAGATAGTTGAAGTGAATACTGCCATAACCGAACAATGATTTACTGACTCATTTAGCATCTGTTAAGTTAGTTATCATATTTATTTTAATCAGTCTCCGTTTCGAAATGTGTTTAATGAAATGAGGAAAAATTCTATCCAGAGTATTGACAAGCTCGTCACGTACTAGTTTTAATGTGCCACCATATAGCTGGAATATTGCTGAGTGCGGCGTAAAACTAAACTCACTCACTCACTAGAGTAGATGTGTGAGTGAGTGTTTGAGTGAGTAATTGAATATAGTTTTACGGCGCTTTTTTCAATATTTCAGCCACAATATAGCGAGGAACACCGCAACTTTCTGAGATCTCGTTCCACATTTGAGGAGGCGTTTTAATCATAAAACTGGAAATACAATATTCTCTTTAACATGAATTTCTGTAATCTGAAATGAAATGCATTGAAAGATTGACACACTGATATAATGATTTATACGTCTCTTACGCTAAAGTACGGATAGTATAGAGCTGTCTTAAAAACTATTTGATTCAAGACAGCTTACGTCACCTTAGATCGTGATGTAGTGGTATTTAGAGTTGACACTGTACAACTGTGTCAATGTAACGTTTAGTGTCTGTGTCATTCACCCAGAACGGGATTCACGTGTGCTTATGTAAATGATGTTGACGTGTGTTCCTTTTTCACCAGCAAACTGGGTCGCATGTTGGTGTGTCGAGCGGAAATATGCACCTTAAAAAACATAACATTCTCGTAAAGAAATCATTTCATCATACTTATGACGTGGTTTTGTTGATAATATATCTTAGAACGTGAACATGGAGAATTAGAGCAGGATCCGATTTCCAGACCGGCACAAGTCTTATGGTAAAAATTAATAGTTTAAAATATAAATATCCCTCTAGCAGACTGCCGTGGTCATTTTCTACTGTCCGCTTATCTAGATTTGCCTCCTTGAAGGATAGGGGCGGTTAGGTAGCCTAGTGGTTAAAGCGTTCGCTCGTCACGCCGAAGACCCGGGTTCGATTCCCCACATGGGTACAATGTGTGAAACCCATTTCTGGCGTCCCTCGTGATATTGCTGAAATATTGCTAAAAGCGTCGTAAAACTAAACACACTCACTCACTTTGAAGGATACCAATAGCACTGACCAGGTGGTTTGACACATATTGTTTTACTAAAAACTATTTTCACAAAATTACAGGGAAGAAAAAACCCCATTCATTTCCCATGTTCTGTTAAAGGTATCACACTAAATATCATCTACTTATGTCATGTCCACGAAACTCGTACAGATTCGGATTAGAATTGGTCTCAGCAACCCGTGATATCGTAAGAGGCGACTCCCACAAAGTATTCGACAGACTGTGTGCAGCACGCGAATCTACAACATGCGTTGGAGGATATAAACTGTCGTTTATTGCACTGGCACGTGCTCTCCGTGGAAATAATGTGACATGTTTTGAAATATTTCCTGCTTCAAAGGGCCAGGAGAAACAATTACGAGTATTTCCGGTCTCAGCAGCAATTCTTTTCGACACGCCACTTCTCACACATGCACTACGGGTTTTTCGCAGTTTTCTGTTTGAATGTTAAACTTACATGACTTTTTTCAGCGAGTTGGTGTGGCATTTGACTTCAAACTGCCATTATCTGCGCAGTGACACATTCGTCACACGTAATATTACAAATGAGGGGCCAATACAGCTTTTTAAGGTGTGTGCATAAATTTCTATAATTGTCAGAGACAGAGTAACTATTTCGAAATCTGATTACGAATGAGGTAATATTAACTAAACAGAAAATAATTTATTTATTTTTTGGTTTGTTTGTTTGTTTATTTATTTACCCCTCAGGCACATTTGGATTCCCCACCCCCACCCCGACATAGTTTGATACCCCCCTCAGAATTAGTTGGATAGCCACCTGGGAAACGGTTGGGTACCCCAGTATCGTACAGTTGAATACCCCACTCAGACATAGTTGGATATACCCCTACTCAGAGACCCTAACACAGACACGCGCACGCACGCACGCACATACGCTGATATTATGAGCAACAGTTTATGGCGTCTAGATAGATAGCACATAATGAACGAAGTCGAAGTCACACAATACACAATAGCGTGTTCAGGATATATTCGTACCGTATCTCGACCGCGGAATTTAGTGGTCGGTTGTACTTTGTGAACAGGTCAGAGCGTACATGAAGGGTACATGTAGGGTGTAGTGTAACTAGCCCGAGGTAGAGGCATGGAGCTTGTTTACAAGCCTCATGATGTGTCGCATAAATATACCCGGTGTACGTGCATGAAATATGATGAAACGTGTGTATAAAAATAGCCTTGCACCCCTTTTGCTCCAAAACGGTAGTAACACACAGACACAAATAGACACACACACACACACACACACACACAGATGGAAAGATAGATCTCAGAAGACCTCTACTGTTACTCGAACAGCAAAATTGAGACAAACGTACCTACGTAAGTTCGGCAACCCATGCTTGTGGTGAGAGGCGACTATCAGGATCGGGTGGTCAGAGTCACTGACTTGGTTGACACAAGTCAAAAAGCGTAGATCGATGCTCATGCTGTTGATCATTGGATTGTCTGGTCCAGAATCGATTATATACAGACCGCCTCCATACAGCTGGAATATTGCTGAGGGAGGCGTTAAACAACTGTCTTTAAGGCAGACCTGGTCTCGTCGCTGTATGGCTGGAATAATGTCGATGTGATGATGATGATGATGATGATGATGATGATGATGATGATGACTCATTCCCTTTAACATAGTGGCCAAATAAGTCGAAGTGATGGTTTTTGTTTTGCTTCAGTCTATGAAAAGCACAGAAACATATCGTGTGGATGTTCTCGTCATAATTGAGGGATACTGATAGCAATAGAATAATCACTCACCCGACGAAACAGATTCCATTTGACGTAAAAGGCAGCTTTGTAAAAATATATGAATTGATCTCTGAAACATTGGTGACAACTGGTTTCTGTGAAATGTGTGCCTGTTGTCTGCGGTATGTATACACATGAAACAAAGTATCGCAACACCCCTTATTTTTTCACAGTATCAATATGCTACCATTAACCATAGCAAATAAACTTATCCAAACCTCCTCAATTTAAATAGCTATATGGATAAATTGATACTCAAGGAAAAATTAAATGGCAATGTTAGACGCTGAAAGAACGAAAAACTTAAGCGTGTTTAGAGAAGCACATTTTGTAGTGCTGATAACTATGACTTTTTGCATAAAATCCTCAAGAAATCACATAATTATCAACAACCGATGATGTCAATATCTGGTGTAATCGCCGCCAACAGCAATAACAGTCATGACCCTCTTCATTGAGACGTTAAATTCGACGTTGAGGTATTGCTTTCAATTCTTGACAGTTAGCTTGTTCCAATATAATTAAGGATCCCTGGTCTATTCACAATTGTGTCTGATCGTCTCAAGGTCAAGTTTACATTCATGTGAGAGGCACCCCACGCCATCAATAAATCCAAACGGTACATGTTCCAAGGGGCAGTGGGGTAGCTAAACGGTTAAAGCGTTCGCTCGTCACGCCGAAGACCTGGGTTGGATTCCCCACATGACTACAACGTATGAAGCCTATCTCTGGTGTCCCCCGCTGTAATATTGCTGGAATGCTGCTTAAAGCGGCTAAAAACCAAACTCACTCACTCACTACTTGCTCTAAGGTATCCCGTTCTCCAAATGCAGTATTTCTGCAGCGCCAAACACGACTCGCTGTGCGTGCGTGCGTGCGTGCGTGCGTTCCTATAGCCTATTAATCAAGGCGGAGTGGAACCAAACTCAGACACAGTAAACCCCAAACCGACCAGCCCATGTTTTACCTCCCTTAATGCAGTAAGCCATCTTTAACAGTACAACTTTAACCATATTTTGTATGACTCAGCCAGGATCGAACACCTGACCTTTACTCTGCAGGTAGACACTTTACCCACTACACCACGTTGGTGATCTTAATGTGAAGAGGGGGCGGTGGGTTAGCCTTTGGTTAAAGCGTTCGCCCGTCACACCGAAGACACGTTCGATTCCCTACATGGGTACAAAATGTGAAGCCCATTTCTGGTGTCCCCCGCCAAGATATTGCTGGAATATTGCTAAAAGTGGCTCACTCACTCACTCACATGAAGACGTTAGGACTATATAATTACAACCTTCTATGTGCTTTGCAGATCGAACGATCGATATAAATGTCAAGCATGGAACAGCAATTATAGACGCTAATTAAAGGTCTGAATCTTTTCATGAAAAGCTCAAGTTGATTTGTTTTGCAAGCTCGTGATTTATTGCCTTGTTGTCTCAAATCTCGGATATGTTGCTGTTGGATGACCGCGACTTCACGTGATCAAGGACGTTGTGATACTGTATTTGTTGATCCTCACGTGGATTTGTTTATAAACAAACCATTGCATCATGTCTCATGTAGGAAATTTCCACAAAGGTGTGATCCAGTTTACACGTGGTATACAATGACATGTATGAAGCCTATTTCTGGTGTCCCCCGCTGTAATATTGCTGGAATGCTGCTTAAAGCGGCTAAAAACCAAACTCACTCACTCACTACTTGCTCTAAGGTATCCCGTTCTCCAAATGCAGTATTTCTGCAGCGCCAACAAACAAACCATTGCATCATGTCTCGTGTAGGAAATTTCCACAAAGGTGTGATCCAGTTTACACGTGGTTTACAATGACATGTTTGCCCTAAATGGATATATCAGTTGATCTTTGAATTCGATTCTGTTTCCAACTGTTTGTGTGAAGCCAAACAGTGGTTATGTTTCACAAATGAAAATATCGCCACTTTTAATTTTTTCATGGCCCATGTAAAAATGTTATCCTGAACTCTTAATGTGTCATCGTGGAAATTTTTAGGGTGGTAGTTTTAGCAAAAGGTCACTGTTACCTAACAAATAGCTTGGGTTAAAGTTAGGTAAACATGTTATACCAACACATTGTGTCTGTGTGAAGTCATGGTCAACACGAGCCGTGGGGTAGCCTAGTGGTTAAAGCGTTCGCTTGTCACGCCGAAGACCCGGGTTCGATTCCCCACATGGGTACATTGTGTGAAGCCCATTTCTGGTGCCCCCCGCCGTGATATTGCTGGAATATTGTTAAAAGCGGCGTAAAACTGAACTCACTCACTCACTCATGGTCAACACGTACATGTTCAAATACACGAAATGAAATAGGGTGGATCCTATTTTCAAATGCAGACGGGGGTAGTTTAAGGTCAAGTTGCCACGGTCATCGTGTGGAAAATTCTTCTTCAGGATACCTTTGTTCCCCGATAAAGTATTTTTTTCCTACAAGGAAGTAATTAATATGAAGGCTTCACTTTATTACGATGGATATCTAAAACCAGTGAGTGAGTTTAGTTTTACGCCGCTTATATCAATATTCCAGCCATATCACGGCGCGGGATCCCAGGGCTTCACACCTTTACCTGTGAAGGGAATCGTACCTGGATCTTCGGCGTGATGAGCCAACGCTGTAACCACTAGACTCCGCCCCTCTCCCTAACACACACACACACACAAAAGAATGGCATAAAATCAGGCCACTTGTTTCGCACGCTTTTGTCTTGTGTTCATGTTGTTTAACGCCGCACACACGGTGGGGTAGCCTCAGTGGTTAAAGCGTTGGCTCGTCACGCCGAAAATCAGGCCACTTCCCCACATGGGCACAATGTGTTAAGCCCATTTCTGGTGTCTTGCTTGAATATTGCTAAAAGCTGCGTAAAACTAAACTCAGTCTGTCAGTCAGTTTAACGCCGCACTCAGCAATATACCAGCTACCCCAGTGCCCCATCTAACAACAGGAAAGACTATAGAAACTGAAGGACAAGAGTATACATACTGTATATTGTTTAATTCCGTTGATGTATTTTCGGCGTATGTTTGTTTGCCAAGTAGAAATATAGTTTTGGGCTGAATTCAATTTAAGCTGTCAATTTAAAATGACAAACCACATATTTTACAGTTGGTGAAATCTGTTTATTATTTGGGCATAAATGTTAATTCAACAAATTGAGTAATTCTTTTTTATATCATACGTACATGTACTTAAAAAATCACAAATTTTGGTATATATACAAAGGTTTTCCTATATAAATCATGTATATCTGCCTGGTGATCGATATAGAACAAGATATAAATGGAACACATAAATGAAAAAGATATAAACAGTAACACCCACTGTAGTTGCAGCCACGACACCAGGTGTTCGTACAACGTCATGAGTGGACGTGTTCGTTGTTCAACACCACACTCGGCAATATCCAAGTTGCATGACGTCATTCTGTAAACAATCGAGTCTGGACCACACAATCAAGTGATTAATATCATGAGCATTGGTCCATTATTGGAATACGTTGCCATATCAACGAGTCTGACACTTGTGGTGGACTTAGCAACAAATCTTTAGAGTTTAGACTAAATTGATTGATTTCAATGGATGTTTCCAAGCCTTTTTCTAGTATTTGAACCTGAGCAATTCTTTGGCCGAAGTGATGTTTTAGATTATGTACGAAAGACTTGTTTAACATTCATTTTAAGGCATGGAAGGAAATTAGATGAATAATTCGATTTTCATTAAAAGCGTCGGCCTTGTTCACTCATTTAATAAATATGTATCGATTGATCGTGTCAGGTAACAAACTTGCAAGTTAGAGGAAAAAGGAGATTGCAAGATAGATTTCCAGCTTCGAATAACTGCCAAAATAGATTTCATTGGGTGTTGAAAGTAAAATAAGGGTAGAAATAATATGAATGGAACACTGAAGATCAGTGATGACACCGGGTGTTCAGGAACACGTTAGGTATGTCATGCCCTACCGGTAGCAACTCTTTGACCTTTGTAAACAAAGGATTAACTAGACAAATTCCTAGTTAGGAATTCAAATGTCACATAATATTTCCGACAGCGGGGTTTGAGATCAAATGTCTTAACCACCAAATGGCTTTTTCGAAAACTGACCGCAACCGTACCATGTTGACGTGATGACGATTCAGTGACGGTGTCTTTCGTGACGACACGTCACTGGTTGTGGCTTTCGTCCCTCGGAGGACCATCAGCCTACTTGAGCTAATTATAATTATTATAATTATTCACACTTCACTGATGACATCCGGGCATGAGTGATTCATCAGTACGTCAGTGAATACGTCAACTTCCTCGCTGATACATCGGATGTCCGCTTCCAGTCGGGAGATGTCTCTCTGCAGCCAGGCAGTTTCCTGGACGAGGAAACCCAATAAGTTGTATTGCATTAAATATTATTAATATATTAAACATTACATGATATGCTTACATAAACGAATGCTACCTTGTATACGCAATGATAAACAGATTCATTATCACATGTACATGTAGCTTTAACGCCGCCATGTCCTGCGCAGAGTTGCGTCCCTTGACCACGCGAGGATTCGGTGATCATGGTTTTGAATCCCAGACTAGGGAGGTTATGCCGTTTTGTTTGTTATAATAGTCACATTGTTAAACGCATGTCACTATTGTAGCTTTTGTCTGATCATGACACTTCGTAACTACTGTTTGAAGCTCTTAATAATGATAATAAATCATAATAATAATAAGTAGCCCATTTAGATTGCGCTACATCCACACCGACAGCATGCTCATAGCGCAGGACAGTTAATTATTACCTCGGATAACCCAAGCTGCGCAAGAAGGTTATAGTCACATGACTTATCCCACCGGGTACCCATTTTCTGCTGGGTCAACAGAGGCAATTTTGAACAAACTCACCTGCCTAAGGTGAAACCACATGTATCACATATGCTTCGTTGTGGGACAGGACTAACGTCCTAGTAACTCTCAGGAGTCAACGTTTCACTCATATAAGATACTCAACGGGCCAAAATGCTCTCAGTAATACCGGACCCACCTGTTCCAAGACCGCTTGTCTGAACCTTCTTCTCCTTCTACTCATCTGTGCATGGTGGATGTTCCTTGCTTTGATGCGTTTTTGACTGTCCTGCTCTTTGCCGATATTCTGAAACACAGGGATAAGGTAGTCTCAGTACCAACATCAACAGGTAGTAGAGGGAGTGAATGAGTTTGCTTTTACGCCGCTTGTGGCAATACTCTAGCAGTATCACTCCGGGGAACACAAGAAAGGGCTTCACTCACCGTACCCATAAGAGAATCGGACCCAGTCATCGGCAAGACGAGCGAACGCTTTAACCACTAGGCTAGCCCAGGTCGTAGATTATTATCAATACAAGAAAGCAGACCCACCTGGCTTACCTGAACGGCCTTCACTGATGTTCTGTTTCCGGTGCGTGGCCTCTTTCGCTTTGTAGCAGGTTGGGTCGACGTCACTCCGCTCACAGGGCCTTGGCGTCTGTCATGAAGATGCGGATCATCACCATCTTCGTCAAACATAGATACCCCATCAGCTATACGTTGGACAAACAGAGGAACAGCTAGTGCTCCCGTAGAGGTTGCATTTTCTCCATATACCTGGCCTACATCAGATATATCTGATACAGGACCTGGGTATGTCTGACAGACACGAGAAGAATCCCCTACGCCAGAAGTTGAAAGGACTTGTCCAGTTCTTCCAAGTCCTCTATCAGATGAGCTCCCTGCACCAGGAGCGGAAGTGACATCACCGCCATTTGCCAGATCTTCAGGAACATTCGGTGGTGTCGATAGGGATGCAAAGTGACCTGATTGATTTGGGGAAGTTATATTTGGACGTGTATCGCTTCCATTAAATCCCGTATCTGTTCCTTTTTCTCCTAATTTGACCTGGAGATGCTGATGGATGCACTGGGTTCCGCCTTCAAGTAGCTGTAGAGCTGTGATGATGGCATCCAGAGCTTGTTGTTCATCGTTCTTGTAGAGCCCTTCCTACAGTGGCGACACAAAAAATGTTGAGGACGATATTTAACATGTAAATGTTCCTGCGTCCTGCAAATGTATTCATTGCTAAGGGACTTATAACTGAGGACCTATAGTTACAATTTGATATCATACAATTACATTGAGACCATCCAAAGTGTCCAGCGAACAATTATTTTTTAATGGACTCATTGGATCGAACAACCAATGTTCCGCTCTCCCGGAAGACGCTCTATCCACTCGACCACGGAGGATTTACCATGATGATAGTGTTACATGCATTAAATGCAGTATGAAAACCTCGTATATCCGGCAACGAGCGACGAGTCAGTTCTTTAACAGAATTTCACATTCCCCAAACAGCGTATCCTGTTTCAAATCCTTTTCTAAAAAGTGTGACGCAGCGACCTCGATTAAAATAATTGTTCCATATACTTTAAACATAGATAATTGTTGTATAATTAATTGAGAAAGTATACACTTGGCGTTTTGAGATTATTTAAATACAAAACCCAAAACAACGTAACTATTTTGAAATGTGTTATTATGTACGTAGTCAAAATTAAAACACTTTTCAAAATATTTTCATCGTTTTTCTGGAAAATAATCAGTCTACGCTATCATTGTATACGTCAGTTTACTAATATAATGGTATGAAGCAAAGCGGTATGAAGTATTACGCAATGGAAGGGCTAACGTAATGCGCTGATACGGCATACATTATGAATTGATAATTATGTTGATACTTACCATTGAAATGTGTTTGGTCGACAGTCGAGGTGTAGCAGAGGTAAAATGTGTCGTTGTACCGATCAGCGTATAGGACATATGGATAAGTAAACTGTTAAATCTTGAAGCTTTGTAGTGACATCCGTCATGCTTATATTTAGAATAACATACGACTTAGTGTCACATGAGTCAGTTGCACATGTGTTTAATACAGTTTTGAACATACATTTTATCTTTAAATAATTTTGATATAAGTTTGACATATCCACGCAACCAGCAACGCACGTACGCACGTACGCACACACGCACCAGATTCTTTTAAATGATCTGTTCCAACTGAAGCAGCGTTTTATTTCATTCTTGATTTTAATAGCTTTTCAGTGTAAGAAAAGTAGTTCTATGGTTGTTAAGGCCTTATTAGGCTGAAAAGTGTGTTCACAAAATATGGCCCCTGTATTGCAGATGATCGTTGACGTTCAACTCCCAAGCCTACGCAGTGAGTGAGTGAGTTTAGTTTACGCCGCATTCTGCAATATTCCAGCTATATGCGCGCGGGCAATCCTACCCAAATACCAACTGGTTGTAAAAGAATGATCCTATGGTATTTCTATTTCTCTTTTTCTGATTAGACGGAAAATATTAATATAACATAGTGTGCAGAATTCAACGACATATGTGTTACAGTGATTAAAATTCCGATCATTCTTCCGGGTTCAACTTGACCTCAGTTTAGGAAATTTCCGCCAAGTTTGTTATGCAGAAAATGACCAGTGGGGGTGGTTACCTTAAGCGATGTGGTTATTGTGAGATTTCATGGTATTAAGAAGTATAATTCAAGCGTTTTATTAAAAACCACTTGTTCAAATAGAGTTAAATAAAACTCATATGAGATGATTCGATCTCTCAGAACAACCGTTGGGGGTACAAGAGGACTGACATAATGTTCTATATACTATTCAAAAACCGAAACGCATAATCCAGAAATCTGTTGCGAAAATGTTGTATTTTCAAACATGCATAACTCGTCCTCAAATAGACTTTAGTACATGAATTTTTACTTTAGTTTAGCAGAAGGAAATGTCTATACAACCAAATAGATAATTTAAGATAACGTAGACGCTGCGCGCACAGTCGAATCTCTCTCAACCTGTTCCGTACAGTTTGACGGGATATCTTCATTATTCCAGGCACTTTTCATTATTACTGTTATGAACAACAATGCGCTGAAATGAGTGAGTGAATGAGTGTAGTTTTACGCCTCACCCAGTAATATTCCAGCTATATGGCGTCGATCTGTAAATAATCGAGTCTGGACCAGACAATCCAAGGATCAACAGCATGAACATCGATCTACGCAATTTGGATACGATGACACGTGTTAACCAAGTCAGCGAGTCTGACCAACGTACCGATCCCGTTAGTCGCCTCTTACGACAAACATGAGTTGCTGAAGATCAGTTCTAAACTGGACCTTTACAGGTAGCTGATTTGAATGTTTTAGAAGAGCTCAAGACTGGTTTCAGATTTGGAGAGTAGCGACAGTTGTTTAAATCGGCATTGATTGGTTGTGGCTCCGAAAATACTTCACAAAATATACATGGATGTTTTCTTCTCTGTTACCTGGCAGGTTTAGTTAGGCGTTGTTATCCAATGGTAAGGAGCATTAACAAGGATATTTGCCTTAAGAGGAGAATGGATTTAGTTGTGATAAAACTGCATTGAGCGCTCATATACTTGCATGATATTATAGTTGTCAGTCTATTTCTGTTCTGTTGATGTATAGGAAGAAATAAATGAAAAATTAAACAAAATATGAATATGACAGAGAATATATACTTCTCTATTATCATCGTGTCGAGAATCCATTGGGCGTGAAAGGCAAACTAGTTTTATGAATGGATGACATCGATGGCACTGGGTGTTAGTCATGGGGGTCAGCATGACGTGCTAGAGACCGGAAGCAGTCCGCATTTCTTCATGATAAAAACTGACGTCTGTTGTTGTACGTGACAAACTCGTTCAAGATAAACGCTGAAATATAACACATCAACGACAGCAAAGAACCTGTGTCATATATCCGAGGAAACGATTCCATTTCGTTAAAATATTAAAAAACCCGCGGTGACAATCCTATGAAATTTAATACAGAAGGATGACTGCAACTTTCAAACAGCTATCGTTCATATAATGTCCCTAAATATACAAGCAATTCCAGCCTATGGTGTCCACGTTGGGTATCTTCCAATTGGCAGACACCCAACTGACAGTCGACTGACAGACACTGATTTAGAAGGTTAATTAGGGTAACACCTACGGATATAATTGTATCAGATAAATGCTCTGCTTAATGTGCCAAGGATGTCATGATAATGACCAGTAAGCATTACATGTTATGTGCAAATTATATGTTATGTACAAATATTATATTTTAGGGAAATGTTTTAGAAATGCAGTGGACGTGATCAACATAGTACCATATTTACTATTTATTTTTTTTATCTCTGTTGAACTTGTAATAAATATGCTGAATGAACATAACGTCTTTGATTCCATTGGACTGATCCATTATAAGAAATTGGTATCAGCTTGAGGATTAGTTGTGCACTGAACCAGAAATGTTGTTGTTTTAAGCTGTGTTAGATATGGCTGTCTAAGTTTTGTGAGGGTACCTATGGAACAGTCCCCTGTCTAGTGAGTAGATTAGGGTGAGCGTGAATAGGTTCGTTACCGAGAAGTTTGATTGTGTGTTAACAGAACTTTGTTGTGATTAAGTAATTATCTGTCTTCTCAAAATATTTTTTTACTATCAATTTAAATATTTTATTTTAGTCATTCAAGAAAAGGATTTAGGACAAGTTATCGAACTTAAATTCATGTTATATCAATGTACACAAGTGACATACATGGGCTAGGATATGTACAAGAGAAGTTCACTGAGGAAACGTTTTGTTTGAGAGATATAGATGTGTGCATATTTGAAACATTCTTATTTTCAGTAACTGAGAGACCTGCATTGCCATGTAATATAAGATTAATCAGTGTCATACTTTAAACAATATTTTCTAAAGATTTTAACAGTTTATGTGTTTGAATAGTATACAATGGACATTCAAAGAAGTAATGAAAAACATTCTCACATCCATGGCCACACTGACATGATGCGTCATTTTTCACATTTATTCTAAATAAATCAAAATTAAGTGTACTCGTCATATATCTTAATCTTGTGTGCAAAAAGTTTAACTTCCTAATTCTATATGAATAATATTTAGATGCACAATTTTCTTTCACGTGGATATGATTTAAATGATGCAACAGAGTCGCAATTTATAATAGCTAAGGTTATATTATTCCACATTTTAACTGCTGATGTAATAAAAGATGATGTTGAATACCTCAGTCTTGTACATGGTTGGCTAAAATTATCGGAGTTTTTAACTCATAACATGTCCGGTTGCCTACTACAGGTGACAGTAAATCCTAAGAAAAACTGTTTTTGTTCTATTTAGTATGAACTTTATAATTTCTGAAATGCTCCAATCATTTTAGATGTCATTTTGACAATGTTTTCAATATGATGATGCCAACTCCCGTAAGACGATAAAGTTAAACCTAAATGTTTATGAAAATCATCTGTTTTCATATTGCAGCAATCAAAATTCAGATTAATGTCTTTTCGGCCATCTTTCAAAGTAAATAATATAGCTTCAGTTTTTTCTTGTGTTATTATTTGCACTTTTCAAATATAGCATGTAGGTAGTAGCTAGTCTGTTCACTGAACCGTAAAATGTTGTTGTTGTCTGTCTGTGTAATGGGAGGATACCTCCATGTTTCATGACTTTAAGATGCAATCAATTATGCTTTTTCTCCAAGAGTTGTTGACTCAAAACTTTTTTGTATCAAGGTTACAACCATGACCATATTTGAGTTTTCACACTCTTTTTATTTTAGACATGCGCAGGACGCTCCAAATGTGACTCATAGTCACTCTACCATATATTCTCGTATTATTTCAGGTGAACAGTGACATAATCACTATTGTATGATGGACACTTTTAGCGGATATTAGGCCATATGGACGTATTTTCTATTTCTGTATGAACAGATCATGTCGTGAAGGTTGAACTGATTTACTTGTGACTCATTTAATGATTAACATGGTGTACAACAAGGGTACTAACTTCCACCGACCCTCTTCTCTATTTATTCAGATGACGTAGTGACTTCGACGATTTATGTATGGTATTACTGAACATTTCTATATGCTATCGTATGTGTTGCTAGTGATATTGCCTTGCTTGCCTCGGATGAAAATTCACTTCCGTATGTTCTGTAAGTGTCAGGAGTGGCGTCTTGATAAAACACATAAATTAAATGCTTCATTTGTTTGATGTTTCGGTGCGTCGAGTCTGTTGTCTTCTGATTAGCACTGATTATGAGTCTGTTTCAAATGATACGGCCCTAAAAATAGCCATCCCATGAAAAAACAGAGCAACAGAATTTCTGTGCTATATGCTCTTCATATGGATACTGTGAGTGAGTGAGTTTAGTTTTACGCCGCTTGTAGCAATATTCCAGCAATATCACGGCGGGGGATACCGGAAATGGGCTTCACACATTGTACCCATGTGGGGAATCGAACCCGGGTTTCGGCGTGACGAGCCAACGCTTTAACCACTAGGCTACACCACCGCCCCTGAATGGCGGAGAACAAGCCTACAAAACATCCGTCGTGGAACTTACATAAGCAGCCCGTGTTTATTACGCGATGCTACCAGCGGGAAACAATGGTAAGGTTCGCTGACTTACTTCATGCGTGTCATTATATACCACTTGTATTGATCGATGCTCATGATGTCAGTCACTGGATTGCCTGCTGAAGACTCAGTTATGTGTAGACCGCCTTTTATTGCTGGAATAGTGTGGTGTTAAACAACAACCACAAACACTCTGTGTTTCTAATCTCATACTCAACTGCAAATAAACCTGCGCACATATCCGTGTTAAAAAAAATACAATACAGAACTATTTCGAATAGTTTTAGTATTTCCCTTTATTCAGATATTAACTATCCTGCTTTAACTGATACAGAAAATGATTTCCTACTTAAACTAAATCACATATATCTCTATAATACATTTTATGAACAGCAACTTTCATCCTAATTGCTTATTCAATAACTAGGTCTTGCACAACGGATCACATGGTCTGTCCGTCAACACAAAACAATTTCAGTGATATGGCTGTCTTAAAGGGGCTCGCTACCACTGAGTCCCGTGGACAGGGAGTGTTCTGCATGCCGTGAGAAAGACCGAGCCGTAGCCCGATTTAACTGCCATTTACACAGACATCATGAAGTCTGTGTCGGGAGAGAGGCAAAGGATTTTAAGGACGCATGATTTGTTACCCAAGTCTTATCAACCCCCTTACCCCCCACAAGAAAAAAATCAACACCCCACCACCCCTCAAGCCGTCCTTCAAGAGGCACAGAGGCAACATATTTTCACTGAACGCGGGACAAAACGCAAGATGGCCGACTTTTCATGACTCATACACTGGGTCACGACAACCTGGCAGCAGCTGAATACGTGAGCATCCAGATCTTGGCCCGGTTGCGTTGTCATGGCAATAATGACGTCACGACCCCAGGTCACCCGGCTTGATGTTTCAAATACCAGCAAATATTAGGTAGCGGAAATGACCTGACATAACCTAATCACTTGAAATAGAGGTTTTGTTTCAAGGGAATAAAGTAACAGATAGACCATTGTTAAGAGAAATGTTGGGAGAATATGTAAAACGGCGCCGCCAGAAGAGCGTATGATCTATGTTTGACAACGGGGCCTGATTCAGAAGGTCGACAGGCGACACAGGTAATTTCATGTAGGCGGAGTATCACGGGGAGGTCGAAGAAGACACTCGTGGCGACGGAGAACGTCCTCCAGGACCTGGATTTGTCCACGGCTGTTGGCGATCTCGTCCTTCAGAAGGGCGTTCTCCGTCTCATATCCGGCGATCTCCTGGATAAACACAAAACGAAATCATTGGCGAGTTAGTGGTGCTGAACGTTTATTGCTCAACTTGATTTCAGTGTTTTCAACTGCAATGGGCTTTATAGTTTGGGTGACTACATTGACTTACTATTCAAGCAGTCATAAGGGCGTATTAAACGAGCAGTGTTATTACCGAGGTTCGGGTTTCCTGGATGTACTACTATGACGTTCATGTTGGGAGACAATGGTTACTATAGAAACGAGGACCTATCCCTTTTCATATGTCCACTTTGCACAGAAAGACATCCATGACGTCATGTACATCACTTAATCATCTCTGTTTTGAGGACAATGGAATAGTTTTAAACTATAAGAATTTCTTTACCATGTCAATGTTCTCGATACTATTGTATAGATCATCCAGAACATCTCACAAGTACGTAAGCTAATAATTATAGATATATGTTTCCCATTTGAGAACAAATAATGCTCATTGAAGGAGTGTTCGTTGTGGTATTGCACCACAGTCTATGTTGGCCCTAGACAGTCGATAGACGCATAAATTACGCGGACTACAAAAAAATATTTTAAAATGTTTTGCTAACTTCAGAAATGACCGATTATTGAATGGTTGCTACTGATATAAAGGCTTGAGATACTGCTTTCCAGTCGTCTTATTCTTTATGTATTCACACCTCCCATAACCTATTTACCATACATCCTCACTACCTCATGCATTCCTGCTTCCTCTCGATAGAAGATGTTTATATATAGAATATATACAGCAAACCCTCGTTAACACGAGTTCTTGTGGAACTGTCCGGGTTACCCAATTCTGGGTTAACAATTGCATATACACGCAGAAGCTTTCGAACTAATTGGTTCTGGAATAATCGGGTTTTACGATATTAAATATGTTTAAATTACCTCTTGCAACAGTTGTTCCCTCTCCTTCTTCCTAATACGACTCATGGTGGCGTGGTGCTTGTTTTTCTTCTTGACTTTTTCTCGTTTGTCCATTTCCCCTGCTGTCATCTGAAAAACGTACATGAACATTCCGTTTACAATCGAGTCTGAACCAGATAATCCAGTGATTAACATCCTGGGTGAAATATAAGAAGTTATTCTGGTACGAGCATGTGACAGATTAAAAAAAGTGTCAGTTTTATAAAAGACATTCTTGCCCAATGTTTAGCCCATGAACAATGTTCATCAAACTTAAAAAACAAGTCTCCTATTGGGTGGAATATACGAAGTTATTCCTGGTACGAACATGTGACAGATGCAAAAACGTGTCAGTTTTAAAACGACAAATGTTTATCCCAAGGACAACGGTCCTCAAATTTGAAAAACAAGTCTACTATTGGATAAAAATATGAGACGTTAATTATTCCTGGCATGAGCATGTAGCAGATAGTTACCTCAGGTGGTGGTTTCGGCTGACTCGACACAGTAAGGTTGGGTCGCCTCAACTTGATTTTGGTGTTGAGTTCCAGCTTGATTAGGGGCATAAAGCTGTGACATTCGCTTGTGGCAACCATGGCCTTGGCAACCGCAGGGTCAAGACCATTGTCCAGGGGGTCAACCATATTCAGGTGATCGTCCTGGGGCATCACCATATATAGGTGATCGCATCACCATTTCAGGTGACTCAGATTCATCATCCATTATATATAGGTGAGGCTCAGACATCATCCTGGGACTCGGGCAAAACCATGTTTAGGTCATCGTCCTGGGGGTCCGACCTCAACATATCCAGACCCACGTCCTGGGGGCCGGGCACAACCATATTCAGACCAGAAACATCCAGGGGATTATTTGAATGGTCCATGATGGAGAACTGTTCGCGTCACGAGCCTGGATGTCTTCAATAAAACGTGAGATATAAATCGTTAATAAAGTGTTTCAATTCAAATACCCTCTACCGAAGAATGACAGCTCGGTAGCAATGAAACCAATTTGAAGTCGAAGATTAATATGCATCTCTTCAACCAATCAGAAGCTCTCATTGTCACCTGACAGCATTACTCACATTTCGACTTGAGTTCACACTTACATATCACTCACGCTTTATGAATTAAATTGTGCAATTCCTGGCAAAGTTCCCATGCACAACATATATAATATATTTTTATATACTGTCTTATGTCAATGAACCTTAGAAGATATTGGTCTTGCAAAGATAGTTTCTACCTTTTAGCTATCAATATATGAATTGCGTTCCGTAAATGTTACCCTAACTTAGACGCACAATCGCCGACCGGTTTTCCCCACCACGTGCCTTGTCTTTCGAGCCCTCGCAACTTGGCTTTCCCCGACCTTGACCTACATGCTGGGTACATGACTGCCTTCACAGGAGCTATGGCCGCTCCCAATGTGACACGCTTGCATCGAACAGTTTTGTTAACTCATACGCTATGTAATGGAATTCCCAGCTATCAACGGTTATATGTACAATAATCATACAGGTTCGTGACATGCGAGATGTAATAGCTAGAAATGGTGTTAATACAATTAGGCCGCTCGGCTGTTTGTTTGATGTTGTATCACCTTCTGTAAGTAGGGGATCCGCTACTTAATTGTTTTCACGGATAATTTACAGTTATTTTCTGTGAAACTTCATAGAAACTGGTTGCTCCCAGCTTAAGAAATAATCAGCTGAACATATCCAATCAATGCCCACCTTCTGCAATTGCAAATTCTTCTCCACGATGGGCTGTGCTTTGAAGTCTCGCCCGTTGAACTGAGGACAGCACCTCCCACCTATTTGATGCACGACGCGTTGAATGTCAGGTCGTCGTTGTCTCGGGAGCATGTGTACTGCACACTGTTCTTGTAATCTATAAATGCTTACACGTGTGTTAGGTCAAGCGATACTTGTTAGGGCAGCATTTTTATTTCTGTGTTTTTCACCGACCGACCGACCGACCCCCGTAGAAAGCTTTATGTTTCATTCCAACACAGCCGACTCGAACCTTAAATGTACCGCTTCGTCATATAACATGTATATCTTTTAATCAGTCGCTGCCACAAGTCCAAAGAACCATGGTAATCCTTACTGGAGAGATGTTTTATCTTCTTGGAGGATATTCTGTAAGAAAATTACTTTTGTGGAAAATGATGTAGACCAAATCCGGAACTTTTGGTTATAAAGTTGAAGAACTCCTCAATGATAACCTCCAAACTGCTATATTGAAAGGTTTATTGCAATGAAAAATAATACGTTTAGTTGTTTTACTAGGAAATGGCACTATTTAAATACCGTACGCTGACATTGTAACTTAGCACACATGCAAGTTGACTTACTCACAGTATTATGTCCAATACAGTTATAGCACTTTCACCCAGCTCCCGTCTATCTATAGATGTACACCCTCATATGTGTATACAATTCTGTACTGACTTGATGATGTTACTGCCAACACATGGCACTCGTCTGTCTGTACATGCAGCTTTAAATGGAATAATAAAAAAAGTCCAAAGAACGCGAGAAATTGAATGAGAATTACAATACATGAGAATCAGGACATTATTCAGGTAATTTTGTCTGTAAAGTTTTTTGCTATGTTTTGTTTGTTTTGTTGTTTTTTTCCCCGACCAACCGACCCATGTTCAGAATTTAGTGGTTACGTGAAACACATAAAATAATTATGCCCTTACACCAAATGCAGTGGAAAATTACTGTATGAAATAAAAATAGACAATGACTTCCAGTCTCGCAGACATGATTGACCGAGAAAGGTTTAACCCACAAATTTGCTACTTGATCCTTGTCCGCTCCTTTCTTAAAAGGATTTAATTCCGAGATGAAAAACTACAAATTATTATGAAGTTGATTTGTGTTGTAGTTTCTCTGTACATAGAGATTGGTACTTTTGCCTCTAATGAAATCGAAATTTGACATAATAATTGATCAAATTCTGAATAAACTTACATAGTAATAGGTATTACTGTAACAGTTGTACTTCTGCCTCATCTCGTTATGATCGTTAAAAACATTTTGTGGAAAAGGTGATATTGATAATAGGTTGATGTGAAAGATGGGGCCTACAGACATATGTGATTGGGATCATAATAAGTTCATGTCTGAAAAGAAAGAAACAAAGAAAGAAAAAAGGACATACAGACATACGTGAATATCACACTTGATCACAGAATAAGAAACATTTGCCATATTTACCTGAAGTTTACATTAACCCTGATTTTGTCGGTCAAGATATATCGTTTATCAGAATCGGAAAATCCAGTGTTTGATATTTTGGTATTGTTTTAGGTTTGTGGAAAGAGACTGGAATAATCCCCCATTCTGTCCCAGTCAACTGTCATCCAAGCCTGGTGACTCTACACGATCAGACAGACAGATTGCTTATTAAAGTGTCACCTTGTTACAATAGACATTAAAATTCTAAAACATACATCAACAGATTAAATGTAACAAGCCACTCTATGTGAGAGTTATGAGAGACAGTCATGGTAAAAATACATAATTAATCACAAGAGCTAGTAAATGTATCACAGTAGCAAATAAGATACAAAATTCACAAATCACATATATTTATGTTAATGCGGGTAAATTACGCCATACAATTTTTTTAATGTGTTATAAGGAAATTAACATATATACAGAGTAAAAGGGTAAAATAAAATATAAAATGGCAGAGAGGAGAGAGAGAGAGAGAGAGAGAGAGAGAGAGAGAGAGAGAGAGAGAGAGAGAGAGAGAGAGAGAGAGAGAGAGAGAGAGAGAGAGAGAGAGAGAGAGAGAGAGAGAGAGAGAGAGAATAGGTAGAGTGTGTGATGATGATTCTAAGGCGGGGGGTCATCAATTTTGTACACATGTCCAAGGGGGGTGTTATTCACATCGGTCCCTAATCACGTCATTTATGGAAACGCAATAAGTTAATGTGCAATATGCTGTCTTAGGTGGATAAAATTTGTGTTCACAACATTCCATAACAAAAGTAATCCTAAACACGATGTGTGTGTGTGCGTGCGGGTGTGTAAATAGCTTGTAGTTCTGGGAGTGGAGTAACTCGTTGGAGTGAGGGTGGGGGTGAGGGCGGTTGAAACTATGAGAAAAGGCTGTTAGTCATACTACAACAACACATTCATGAAGGCATGGGCCTGCTGCCACGTTTCCTAGTCAGGTTTAATCGAGTTTCGATTATATCTACACTTTTATGTTAAGATTAAACCAAGGTCTTACAGATCCTGATGATACATGAGTTATGCAAGTTCCTGTGAATCTGGTTTAATTCAATTTCAATATATATTACACAAAATGTCAATATCTAAACACATGAACTATATTTGGAAACTATGAACGTTTTAATACTTAACAGTTTAAAACGGGACTTTTTTAGATTAAAGAGCTTTATTGTATAAATGGTATTTAGGCTGTGAGAGGGTGTTTTTTCATGTGTTTAGACCCAAATGGAGTTTACATAGAACATCTTTATGTATTTCATTTAGGATTCGAACGTCGTTTATACGTGTTTACATTCGAAATACAATTTTCACAGTGCAACCTCTGAATTGTGGTGGTGGAATTGGGTTTAACGTCGTGCTTGAGAATATTTCGCTCGCTCATATGACGAGTGCAACCTCTGAGGTAACATTAAGCAGGTTTCTACAACGATTACAAAGCGTCCGTGTATCAACGTTTAATTGTAGACGTATGGCAGACAAATCCAAATGTGACTCATCACTGCCCAAAACGTTATATCCTATGGTAATATATGTGATCCTGAAAGTAAAATTCTAAAAGAAAGGATACGTTACACATAACACAACAACAAAATATTGAAAAGATTTGTGACAGTGGTTTGGGGCAGTACGATGGAAGATCCTTTGAGATAACTGTATTGAGAAAAGAACATGAAAAGGCACGTTTGTGTTTCTGAGGAAAATATATTATATAGGTAACTGATTAGCATATCTATGAGTTATTTCACATTGTAAAGTTCATTGACATATACTGGACAACAATAGTTAGGGATATATGTAACGTTTGAAATTATGAATAATGATTTATTTATTCATTGACACACTGATAAAATATTAATCATAAAAATACCAATATCCCTAACTTATTTTGTCCAGTATATTCATACATCTATACTACAATACAACTATACCACTATACCATTTTCATTTCATCATCAAATATCAGATCTTAGTAAATACATTGGAATGTCTAGTCAACACTGCATAAGGGCTTAAATTCCACCTTGCAACAAGAATTGTCATTGAGCTCAAACAGGAGTGAATTGTTTACGTTGCATACTGACTACATCATTACAACGTCCTTACATATATATCTCACAGCTCATAACTCACTGGATTGTCTGGTCCAAACTAGATTATTTACAGACCGGCGCCATATAGCTGGAATATTGCTGAGTGAGGCGTAAAACTCACCCACTCACTCATAACTCACGACCTAATATACACATGGAAAAAAGTATCGCAATACTCAATGTGTTTGATAGTACCATTAACCAAAGCAAAGGAATGTATCCCAACAAATTTAACAGCTAAATTTACTTATTATCTGAATAAGCAGACTCCAAGGAATAAATAAATGCCAGGACAAGCTAACATGGCAAAAATGGAGTCATTCTGTAGTGCTGATAACTATGGTTGCATGACGTTACTAGTTGTGGCAATTTTCAAAATATTTGCATAAATCCTCAAGAAATCATGTTTCAATAACCGAGCACAATGTTAATATCTCATGTGACCGGGGCGGTGGGGTAGCCTAGTGGTTAAAGCGTTCGCTCGTCACGCCGAAGACCCGGGTTCGATTCCCCACATGGGTACAATGTGTGAAGCCCATTTCTGGTGTACCCCGCAATGATATTGCTGGAATATTGCTAAAAGAGGCGTAAAACCAAACTCACTCACTCACTCTGATGTGACCACCGCCAACTACAAAAACGTCCCTGACCCTCTTCATGGACTTTGCATTTGACGTTGACGTTGGGGGACCCGTTCCATGACATCATTACATTTTGCACGTATTACACGTGATGCTCGCCCGTGTTCGTCACACGAACCTATCTAAAAATCAGCGTATGGTGTGCCATATAAATGGCTATATGGGGTTTAAAAATCATAGGT